CCTGAGAGAGAGGACTTCTCATGACTCAGATATGACCTTTCAAAACATGTCTGTTGACAGAAGGTCACTGGGATTTCATCTCCACGCTGGGCTCCTGTGTGAGGAGGCACTGGGAGGCATCGTGGTGTCCCCAGAGCGGGGCAGGGGGGGCAAGCAGCTGGAGCAGGCAGGGCTGTGACTGAGCAACCAGGCTCTGGCCCACCCTGTGGGGTTTCCATCTCTTCCTTCCTTCCCTGGGGAGCTCAGGTTCACCTCCTCCATTGGGAATATTCAGCCCAACTTACAAGGCCAAGCTCTTGGGCAGGATGCTCACGTGGGCAGCCAGCTTCTTATCCATGATGGCCCTGAGTGTGACAGGAGGGGCAGTTAGTGCTTGTCCCCAGCTCACTGCAGCTCAAGGCCTGTCCCCAGCCGTGGGGACATTCCCTTGTGCTGTCCCTGACCAGCACCAGGTTTGACACTGGAGATGGTGGAGTTGGGGTTAATTATTACCCTGGGAAAGCAAAGGCAAAAGTGCCCTCCAGCTGGAGCTGCTTCAGCTCAGATCCTCCTGACAGGACTCTGGGACTGTTCCTGTTGTTCCCCCTCACCAAGCAGGAAGGCTTGGAGTGCCTCCTGGTTGGGAGCAGCACACAGGACCTGTGCCTTGCACAGTGCAAGGACCCTGCCCAGTGTCACCCCTGTCCCCATCTCGCTGTGGGGACACCAGGGCAGGGGCTGAGCCACAGGGCTGCCAGGGCTAGAATGGATGGCAAGGGGTTTGTCTCCCCATCATGTATTTGTGCTGTCAAGTTGTGCCTCTTCCTTGCACAGCAGAGGAAATGTGGATCTTGTTAAATTAACAACATCAAATATTTTCTATCCAAAACATCCTAAAAATCTGAAGCCCAAACAGGTTCCTTCCCTCTGGCTGCCTCCCTTAGCTGTGGGCTGATTTGTCGTTGCAGAGCTGCAGAAGTGGTACTTAGGTGATTAAGGAGTACTGGAGCAAGCTCAGGGGGCATTTTTAGAAGGAATAGGTCAAACATCATGTTTTCTGACCCAGCAATGCCTGGGCCCTTCTCCCAGAGCTGGCAGCCCCATCCCCCCTGCAGGCAGCTCTGCTGAAGGTGCTGCACCAGTGGCTTCACCTTTGATTTTCTTTCATGCTGGCCTCACCAGGCACTGCTTGGAACCAAGTGCTTTGACAATGCAAAAATTTAACTTTTAGATGACCTTGAACTGCAGAGGAGGAAGGATTTGTTAGATACTGGAAGGTTCGATTCAACAACTGTAAAAATTAACCCTTAGTGAGCTAAAGAATGAAAACCACTTTAACTTCTGCTCCAACCCAAAATGCTCTCCAGGATGTTTTTGGTTCAGAACAAGTTAAAAACGGATTGTTCTGCCTTCCAGGGTATACTACAGACTGGATTACAAAACAATCTGGCCAGTGTGTCCCTGAAGATGAGCAGAAGGAGCTCAAGAGGTGCCTCCCCATGGCAGCGACCTGAAGCCACCCCAGCCAGGCACCAACGTGTGGCTGCACCTTGCAACCTGGCCCTGGTGTCATGTGCAGGAGCTCCTTCACATCACCTTGCTTGCTCTCTCTCTTTGCAGAAGTTTATACCTCCAAACCAAGAAGAAGCCCTGGGGGGGCTGCATGGGCTTGGCTACAGGGCAGGGAGAGCTGGGGAGCAGCCTGGGCACTGGAGGACAGCAGCCCCTCCATGGCTGAGGTGGGCTGGGAGCAGCCGTGGCTGGGGAGGACAGCCAGCTGAGGAGGCTCTGGCTTGCTTGCTCTCTCCATGTGTAGCCAGTTGTAGGCATTTAATGCTTGTAGATCATCTTGAGTTAATCTGCAGGTTAAGGCAGCAGCACGAGCAGACACCCCCGCTGTGTTTATTGTGTCAAACACAGGGCAGGAATCATTTTGGTCTTGCTGCCTGCAACTTCCAAGTCACTTCAGAGCAGGAACCTTCCCATTTGGTGAGCACCTTCTAATTGCTCCTGCTCTGTCCCCATAAACTGTGATCCTAACTGAGATCCTGAACTTTGTTCCAGCAAGCTGGGCGGAAACAAGAGGCCACCATGGGAACTGGGAACGTTGGGAGAGGCTGGAAGTGATCTGTGGAAAAACGTCTGCATAATACATGGTACCTCTGGGTTGGGTACCTAATGTCTGTTTCTTTGTCCCTTCCTCACAATAGGATGTGAATTGAGACAGATGAAATATTAATAAGCAGAAAAGCAAAGCAAACGATGTGCACAGATCCAAGGCAGGACAGGAGGCTGCTCACAGGGAGCCCAGTTCTATGAGGTGCAGTGGCCTCAGCACCCAGCCCAGAGGGGTCCACGTCCCACTGCACCACAGGGGACAGACTGGGTGTCCTGTGTGGACTCAGGGTTTCCTCTGAGGATTTTAAGTGAATAAGTCATCTGGTTCAGCTGAGTGAGAAGTGATGCAACGAATAAGCCAGATGCTGGATTCTTCCTGCAGCTAATCTGCTTTCACACACCCTCAACTCCTCTTCCTTAAAAACTGGAAATTTTCCTTGCAGTTTGATGTGTCAAAGATATTCTGTTAAGATGAAGGATTTAGAGGGACTGAGGGCTCTTTTCACCAGCCAGGTACAGTTACTCCATTTATCAGAAGACATCAAAGGGTACAGATTTTATTCTACTTGAATTTCTTAGTACAGTCACAGTATTTAGGGTGACACAAAATCTCTTTCAGTAGCCTGTCAGTTCCTGAATGACTGTTTGGGAACACTTGACAGAAGACAGAGAGTTTTTGGCAAGCAGCAGGGAAAACAGCACAAGAGGTGTTGCAGGAAACTGAATGGTCCATCATAAACATTTCCCCAGTCAACACAGTCTCAGTACTTTGAACAAACCATCTATTGAGTCAGGGACTGAGGACAAATGAAAAAAAACAACCCTCTGCATGCAAAATGTCATGCAAAGTATCTCATACAGTAAAAGAGGGAGAGAAAATTCCAGGTGAAGCCCTCATTCCCTGCAGTCTGTGAGTGCAGACTTCCAGGTGGGACCTCCCAAGTGTTTGCTGGGGGCCCCTTTTGTCTTTGATTTATTTTTTTTATGGCAGTTATTTATTTTATTTATTTTCTGTGCTTTGTCCCCTTCATAAACACCTCTCCTGGGATCATTATCTGTTTTGTTCTAGGGAAGCAAAAAGATTGTGGCAGATCAGAGAACACGGGCTGGGCTTAGGCCATCCGAGGACCCAGAGATTTAGGGCCATGGCTTTAAAATGGTCTTGAAAATTAAAGGCAGTGGAATAAACTGAGAATTGCCTTTATCTTCCTGTGGTTTGACTTCAGAGGCAACTGTCAGGGAGCACAGCTCTTGGTAAGTGGGTACGTGGCACAGACAGGGGAAGAGAGAGGGGAAGGGGGAAGGGGACCCCGGGGAAGAGCAGCTCCTCCCCAGGGAAAGCTGCTTTGGAACACTCTGAGCAGACAAGCAGGGGAAAGGTCTCTGTACCTGGCAATATCCTTGGCGATCTGCTCGTTGAGGCAGCTGATGAAGGCAATGGAGTGTGTCCCAGGGACGTGGGTGCCGGCGAGGGCCGCGCGCAGCCGCAGGGCAACGCGGCCCAGCTCGGGCTGCAGCAGCAGGGCCAGGGTCAGCACCTCAAAGCAAAAGGTGGGAGGGGTGATCTCAGGGGAAACGCTTCATTCTGGACAGTATTTGTGTTATCTGTGGCTCAAGGAAACTCTCCAGTATTCTGACAGTAACACTCGTTGTAGCTCCAGGGAAAACGTGTTCCTAGGGGGATTCACTGCCCTCCAGGGGGGCCCTCCCAGTGCTGTGCCAAGGGCTGGGAGCAGGAGCTGGATCTGCCCAGAGGTGCCCAGACCTCTGCTGTGGGAGGTCCCACCCTGGCCTAATAGGGGCTACAAACCCCACCAGGCAGCCTCAGCCACCAGGTTTGGTTTCCAAAGAAGAATAAAGGGGTAAGTCACTGGCTGCCTGTTGAAATGCATTTCTATTGGAAACATGGGCATGAAGGGAACCACCAGGCTTCTGCACCAGCCTCATTTTCTGTCCAGCTGAGGACACAACTGCATCCATCCTTTGGCTGTGTGTCCAGGGTGAGCCATGTCTGTCCCTCTGGGAAGCAGCAGGGACAGGACCCTCCACCCCCTGGGGACAGGGAGGGGAGCAGGGTGGTATTGCAGGCAGGAGCAGGGATCTGGCCATGGGAAACAGATTTCAAGCTGGAGCCTGATTGTGGGACTGGAGCCACGGGAAGCCTGGAGTATGGTCTGTGCTGGGACCTGGAGAGCTTCTGTCCTGCCCTGCCAGCCTGGGGTCACTCCTGTCTTCTGCTGGCAGGGGTTGGGCAGCCCCCCCAGGCTGTGCTGCAGCCCCACAGGGCAGGTAGGGGGGATGAGACTGAAATGCAGGTTAGAAGTTCATTTCATCTTAATTATCTGGCACTAACAGGAGACTGACATTGAATCCTTTCGGGCCGTCCCTGTCCAACGGGGCTGCAGGAAACAAACACCCTCTGTGGGCTGGGGCTGCAGGGGCAGCAACTGGGGTTTGCTGGTGCTATTCCTGGCAAGCCCCTGAGCTGCTCCCTA